ATCCCTCACCAGGGTGCCCATCCCTCACTGGGGGCTCATCCCTCACTGGGGGCTTATCCCCAACCTAGGGGCCTAGCCCCCACCTCAGTGCCTACTTCCTACCTGGACATCCATCCCTAACATGACACATATTCCTCACCTGGATGTCTACCCTTCCCCCACCCCAGTCCTTCTCTTTATGGTATTTATCTCCAGTATTGCAACCTCCCCTCCTAACATGGACATCCATCACCAACCAACCTTTATCTGTTCCTAGCTTGGCATCCATCCTTAGCCCGGGCATCCATCCTCGGCCTTGCGTCCACTCCTAACATGGTGGTCATCCCCAATTTAGCTGTCTGTCCCTCATGTGGTACTCCCCCCCCCATGTGGGGTTCAGCTCCAACATGGCATCCATCCACCCCTAGCCTGGTGCTTGTCCCCAAGTTGGTGTCATTCACCAGTCCCCAACAAGGCCCTGCAGGAAGGAGATGGACTCTTTCTGAACCTCCTTCAGGAGTGAGAAGACTTCCCTCCTCACCCCGGAGTAGGCAGGGGCCCCTGCGCCAGGCGTGCTAGGGCTGTGCCCTCTCTTTCTCCCAAGGAGGGGGGAGTGGGGAGCTGAGAGAGTCCCTTGGTTTGGGAAGGACCCCTCCCCCCTCCCCCTGCCAGGCTCTGCTATTTTGAGTTGTTCTTCCTGGGAGGACTTGGAAAGTGTTGGGGCTCCACAGTCTCAGTGGAGAGCCATGATTCCGTTCATTGATTTTTTTTTTAAATAAAGATATTTCACAGTCACCATTTCCCGAGGCTCTTCTTTCCAAGGCTAGTGTGTGGAGATGGGCAGGGGTCAGAGAGCAGCCCCTTGCCCTTGGGGGAGCAGAACCACAGACAGTGACCAACACCAAAGGAGTTAGTACATTGAGGGGTTGGGGGAGGGCAGACAGTATACAGGATGGGATGAAGGCACACTGCCAGGGTCGGAGAAGAAGGTTCTATTGGAAGTGGTTCCTGAAACATGAGGGAGAATTAGGCAGAGATGAGAGCAGCTAGGAGCACAGTGGATAGAGTGTTGGATCTAGAATCAGGAGAACCTGAGTTCAAATCCAGTCTCAGACACTAACTGTGTGATCATGGGTAAATCATTTCCTCATCTCTAAAATGAGCTAGATCACTGGCTTATCATGGTGGAGGGGCTCGCATTGAGCTATGCCATGCAGGGTTACCCAAGATGAACAGGTCTAGTGGACATTTCCGACAAAAGGTGGTCAATTCACTAGAGATGGAAATGGCAAAGGACTGCAGTGTCTCTGCCAAAAAAAACCCATGGACAGTACAAAAATGATGAGATGACACCCAAAGACGAGCCACTCGGGTTGGAAGGTGCCTCAGACGCTGCTGGGGAAGAGCCGAGGACAGCTACCAGTAGCTCCAGTAGTAATGAAGCATCTGAACCGAGCTGAAAGGAGGCTCCGCTGGGGATGCGCCCGGTGACAAAAGCAACGTCTGACGCAGTGGTGCACGAGAGCCCAGCATGTGAGGTCTCTGAGCCGAGATGAGCTGGATGTGGTCAAACAGGAGACAGGAGGATTAAACGTCGATGTCTTGGGTGTCAGGGCACTTAAGTGGACAGGAAAGGGTGAATTTAATTCAGGTGATCGCTGCTGTGTGGGCAAGAATCACTTAGAAGGAATGGAGTAGCCCTCACAGTCAATAAAAGGGCGAGAAAAGCAATGATTCAGTGTTATCTCCAAAATGACTTTGTTTGAATCCAGGGGAAGTCGTTCAGCATTACAGTGATACAAGTCTAGCCTCCACCCACTGATGCCAAACGGGCCAAAGTTGATCAGTTCTATGACAAATTACAGGATCTTTGGTGCTAGAAATAGCACCAAACGATGGCCCATTCATCATAGGGGACTGGAATGCTAAAGTAGGCAATCCAAAGCTAATTGGAATAAGAGGCAGGTGTGGCCCTGGAGCACAAAATGAAGCAGGGCAGAGAAGAGAGTTTGGTCAAGACGATTCTCTGGTCACAGCAAACACTCTTGGGTTAAGATGCCGCTCCAGATGGTGAATGGGGAAATCAGATGGGTTATGTACTTTGTAACCATAGGTGGAGAAGCTCTACAAAGTCAGTTAAAACACGACTGTGGCTGTGGCTGGCTGCGGCTCAGAGCACGAGCTTGCAAAATTCAGATTTAAATTGCTGAAAGTAGGGAAAACCATCCGACTACAGAGATATGACCTAAAAACATCCCTTATGAATATGGAGATGATGACTAGATTTAAGGGATGAGATCTGGTAAATAGAGTGTCCAAAAAACTATAGACAGAGGTTTGCAATACTCTAGAATAGGCAGCAGTAAAAATCATCCCAAAGAAAAAGATCAAGAAAGCAAAATGGCATCTGATGAGGCTTTACAAATAGCAGAGGAAAGAGGGAAAGGGAAAGATATGCCCAACTGAATGCAGAATTCTAGGGAATAGCAGGGAGAGATGAGAGGATTTTCTTAAATGAACAATGCAAAGAAATAAAAAAAAAAACAATAGAATGGGAAAGAGAAGATATCTCTTTAAGAAAATTAGAGATATCAAGGGAACATTTCATGCAAAAATGGACACTTTAAAAGACAAAAATAGTAACTGAAGCAGAAGAAATTAAGAATAGGTAGCAAGCTTTTCATACAAATAAAGTCAGATCTAAACAATTGAAAAAATATTAAATGCTCATGGATAGGCTGAGCCAATATAATGGAAATGACAATTCTACTTAAATCATTCTATTTATTCAGTGCCATACTAATCAAACTATCAAGAAATCATTTTGTAGATCTAGAAAAAATAACAAAATTCATCTGGAAAAACAAAAGCTCAAGAATGTCAAGGGAATCGATGAAAAAAATATGTGAAAGAAGGTGGTCTAGCCATACCAGATCTCAAACTGTATTATAAAGCAGTAATTATCAAAACAATCTGGTACCAGCTAAGAAATACAGTGGTGGATGAGTGGAATAGATTAGGCACACATAACATTATAGTAAATGACCATAGTAATCTAGTATACGATAACCCGAAGATCCAAGTTTTGAGGACAAAAATTGCTGGGAAAACTAGAAAACAGTGTGGCCAAACTAGGTGTAGACCAACATCTCACATTGTATACCAAGATAAGGTAAAAATGGGCACATGATTTACAAATAAAAGGTGATACTACAAGCAAATTAGGAGAGCAGGGAATAGTTTACCTGTCGGATCTATGAATAAGGGAAGAAATGAGGATAAAACAAGATACAGAGAGCACACAAAATATAAAACAGATAATTTTGATTATAGAAAATTAAAAACAAAAACCAATGCAACCAAAATTAGAAGGAAAGCACAAATTTTTGCAGCAAGTATCTCTGATAAAGGCCTCATTTCTCAATATGTAGAAAATGGAGTCAAATTTATAAGAATACAAGTCATTCCTCAATTGATACATGGTCAAAGGATTTGAGCAGGCTGTTCTCAGGGGAAGAAACTAAAGCTATCTCTAGTCATATGAAAAAATGCTCTAAATCACTATTGATTAGAGAAATGCAAATTAAAACAACCACATCACACCTATCAGATTGGCTAATATGACAAAAAAAAAAGGAAAGTGTTGGATGTTGGAAGGCATGTGGGAAAACTGGGACACTAATGCACTATTGGTGGAGTTGTGAACTGATCCAACCCTTCTGGAGAGCAATTTGGAACTATGCCCAAAGGACAATTTAACTGTGTGTGCCCTTTGACCCAGCAACACCACTGCTAGGTCTATATCCCAAAAACATCCAAAAAAAGGAAAAGGACCTATTTGTACAAAAAATATTTATAGCAGCTCTTTTGTGGTGGCTAAGAATTGGAAATCAAAGGGATGCCTATCAACGGGGGAGTGGCTAAACAATCTGTGATATATGACTATGATGGAATATTATTGTGCAATAAGAAATGACAAGCAGGATGATTTCAGAAAAGCCTGGAAAATCTACGTGAACTGATGCCGAGTGAAGCGAGCAGAACCAGGAGAAAGTTGTACACAGTAACAGCCCCATTGTGTGATGACTGACTTTGACAGACTTGGCATTTCTCAGCAATGCAACGATCTAAGACAATCCCAAAGGACTTATGATGAAGCCGGCTTTCCGTCTCCAGAGGAAGAACCGATATTGTTTGAATACAGACTGAGATGTGCTATTTTTCACTTTCTTTCTTTTTTCTTTTATTTGAGTCTTCTTGTACAAAATGCCTTACATGGAAATGTTTTATGTGATTGCACATGTAGAACCTGTATCTGATTGTTTACCATCTCAGGGAAGGGGAGAGGAAGGGAGGGAGGGGTAGAATTTGGAACTCAAAACTTAAAAAAAAAAAAGCAATGTGAAAATTTTGTTTTAACATGTAGTGGAGGAAAAAGTAAAATATTTAGAAAAAAGAAGAGGTGACAAGAATACACCAAAGAACTATACAAGAAAAATCTTAGCATTATTAATAACCTTGATGGTGTGGTTCCTGATCGAGGGCCAGACATCCTGGAGAATGAAGTCAAGTGGGCCTCAGGAAGCATTGCTAACGATAAGGTGGGGGAGGTGATGGAATTCTATTTGATCTATTTAAAACCCTAAAAGACGACGATGCCGTTAAAATGTTGCACTCAATATCCCAGAAAATTTGGAAAACTCAATAGTGGCTCCTGGGTTGGAAAAGATCGATTTACATCCTACTCCTAAAGAAAGGCAATGCCAAGGAATATTCCAATTGCCGAACATTTATACTCATTTCACATACCAGCAAGGTTATGCTTAAGATTCTGCAAGCTGGGCTTCAGAAATATGTGAACTGAGTATTACCAGAAGAGCAAGGGAACTCCAGAAAAGCATTTACTGCTTCATTGACTCCACTAAAACCTTTGACGGAGTGGCTCCCGACAAAGCTTGGCAAATCCTCAAAGAGATGGGAGCACCAGGCCACGTTACTTGTGTGAGGAGCCTGGCTGCCGCTCAAGAAGCAGCAGATAGAACCTAACATGCAACAACTGATTGGTTTGAGATTGGAGAAGGAGTACGACAAAGTTGTGTATTGTCGCTTTATCTATTTAACTTCAGCTAAAGCAGAGTTCATCATGTGAAATGCCAGGCTGAATGAATCAAAGCTGGAATTAACGTTGCTGGAAGAACAATCTCAGATATGCAGATGATGCACTCTGATGGCAGAAAGTGGAGAGGAATTAAGAAGCTTCTGGATAAAAGTGAAAGAGGAGAGTGTAAAAGCCGATTGAAGCTTAACATAAAAAAAAAAAACAAACAAAACACCAAACCTAAGATCCTGGCAACTGGTCCTGACACCTCCTGGCAAAGAGAGGGAGAAGAAATGGAAGCAGCAGCAGACTGCGTGTTCTTAGGCTCCAAGATCCCTGCAGACGGTGCCTGCAGCCGTGACATTAAAAGACGCTGGCTCCTCGGCAGGAAAGCCATGGCGAATCTGGACAGTCGACTAAAGAGCGGAGATGTCGCCTTGCTGACAAAGGTCTGTGTGGTCAAAGCTATGGCTTTTCCCACAGTGACGTGTGGCTGTGAGAGTCGGACTCTAAGGAAAGCCGAGAGCCCAGAATCATGCTTTTGGATTGTGGCGCTGGAGAAAACTGTAGAGACAGCGAGGAGGTGGGATCAGTCAATACTTAATAAGAAATTAATCCAGGCTGTTCACTGAAAGGTCCAACACTGAAGCTGAAGCTTAAACACTTTGGCCACATATGAGAAGACGGGACTCATTGGAAAAGAGCCTGATGTTGGGAAGGATTGAAGGCAAAAGGAGAAGGGGACGGCAGAGGAGGAGGCGGATGGATGATGTCGTGGAGGCAACGAACATGAGCTTGGTCTGACCAGGGGAGATGGTGGAGGACAGAAGGGCTGGAGTGCTGGGGTCCACGGGGTAACAAAGAGTCAGACACGACTGAACAGTTGAAGGACTACACAGGTGTCCAGTGCTGGGCTAAGCACCAGGAAGAGTCTGATGGGGGAGACACACGCAAACAACCATGTACAAACAAGAAATAGAAGGTCTTGACTGAAGAGACTCCACAGACGGGTAGGGTGGCTAGGGGGCGCCCTGGTGCACAGAGCTCTGGGCGGGGAGTCAGGAAGACTTACCTTCCTGAGTTCAAATCTGGCCTCAGACATTTACTAGCTGTGTGACCCTGGGCAAGTCATTTATACCCCCTCCCCGCCTCAGTTTCCACCTTTGTAAAATGAGTTAGAGAAGAAAATGGCAAGCCACTCAAATATCTTTGCCAAGAAAACCTCAGAAGGGATCACAAAGAATCAGACGTGACTCAAACAACTGAACGACCACAAATCCTCAGTAGGAAGGCTCTCCCTTGTGTTAAGGGGGACAGGGAAAGGCCTCTTGAAGAAGGTGGGATTTTAGCAGGGACTCAAAGGAAGCCAGGAGGCAGAGCGTTCCAGCATCCAGGACAGCTAGGAAAGGCCCAGTGCTTAAGCACAGTACCTCGCACACAGTAGGAGCTTAATAAATGCTTATGGACTGACTGTTATGCGAGGAACAGCCAGGAGGACAGTGCCAACTGGCTCACACAGTACATCAGTACATGGAGGGGAACAGGGTCTCAGAAGACTGAAAAGGGGTGTGTGCATGTGTGTGAGTGTGTATGTGCATGTGCATGTATGTATGCACAAGTATGTGTGTGTGTATGTGTGTGAGTTGTGGGTGCATGTGTGTGTGTGTGCATGCACAAATATGTGTGTATGCACAAATATGTGTGTGAGTGTGTGTGTCTGAATGCATGCATGTATGTATATGCACGTGTACGTGTATGCCTATGTGTGTGTGCCAGTGTGTGTGGGAGGAGGTTGTGAAGGGCTTTGAACCCAAACGAGGCCACTCAGCTCTCCGGAGCATGTCCCTCATGGCTCGGGGTGAGGGCATTTGGGAAGAAGTGGCTGGCATTCTGGAGCCAGGGAGAAACAGGCTGGCCCAGTGCTTCCTAGGGGGTGACATTATAATAACAATGGTAATAATAATAGCCATGATAACACCAGCTCTTGTCCAAGCAGCACCTGAGGCTGGCCAGTGCTGAATGCCCGGCCCCAGTTCTGCCCCCCCAGGTCTGGTGTTGTTACACCTGATTTTGAGGGAAGGGTGGGAGGGGGGCTGGGCAGCTGCCAGGGCCTAGGGTGAGAGGCAGAGGCTCCCGGCCCTCCTGAGCTGTGTGGGGCCTGGGGCTGGCCCCGCCCAGGCTGGACAGCTCCCAAAGGCCCCTCCAGCCTCTGACCTGGCAGGGAGGGCAGGGAGGGCTCGGCCTGTGCAGGGGGTCCCCTGGGCTCACACCCTGGCATTGCCAGTCTGACTGTGCTGTTGGGGCTGGGGAGTTGGCCAGGCTTGCTGGGGGGAGCACCTCAGGTGATGGAGAGGGGCCAGCTTTCAACCTTCCCCTCTGGATCCAGGGTTAGCTCTCCCCTCCTCCCAGCACCCCCACTCCACTCCATGCACAGCTCCTGGGGGCCTCTGCCCGCTCCTGGGGGCTCCCAAACTTGCTGACTGATGAAATGGGGTCTTTGTTTTGTGTGAAAGCAGGAAATGGGAAGACAAAAGGCTGATTTAATGGGTGACTTGTTGAATTGGCCCAAGGCCCAACGAGGGAAAAAACCATGTGAAATCCCCTCCCCTGAGCTCCTGGGCCCACAGGCTTCCAGTAACAAACAGCCCGGGAAAAGGCGGTGTAAAAAGCCCAAGAGACAATCTAGGGCCCCATTTTTGGGATGAAGGGACTGAGGCACTCCCGAGAGGGAAAGAGCTCCGGTGCAAGGAGATGGGAGTAGAAGTGGCCACTCTCCATCTCTGCGTTCCTTGTCCGGGTCTCAGGCCTAGGTCAAACTCTCCTTAGCCATTCCTGAAGTCCCGGGCCTCCAGTATCGAGGATGACCCCCTTCCCCGGACCTGGGGGCTCATAAGCCCAATGCCCATCAGTGAGATGCCAAGGTCAGAGGGTGAGGGTCAGTCTGAGGCCCAGATCAGAGGTCAGTGTCAGCTCAGTCTGGGGCTGTTTATGTCACTATGCCCCTTAATAAACGACCAGTTGTGGGGCAGCTAGGTGGCGCAGTGGATAGAGCACCTGCCCTGGATTCAAGAGGACCTGAGTTCAAATGCGGCCTCAGATGCTTAACACTTATTAGCTGTGTGACCCTGGGCGAGTCACTTAACCCCAATTGCCCTCACCCAAAAAAATAAATAAAAACAAACAAAAAAAAGTGACCAGTTGCCCTGCAAACTTAGGAATACAACTGAGTACTTGGGCATCAGTTTGTTCATCTGAAGAGTGGACTCATGGGTGGCCAGGGGCTGCCAGACGGCATGTAGGTTCTGAGCAGGCTTTGGGTGGGGGGGCCATCAGGGGCTGTCAAAGACCAGCACAGGCTGAATTTGATAAAAAGTACTGATGGGGATGGGATCTGGACCGGAAAAGGAAATGCCCTCAGAATTGGGAGATTGCCCAAGGTCACAATGAAAGGCCAGTGGAGAGGATTATGGCCTCAGGCCAACACCAGGGACTTGGCCCTGTGGGGAAGTCCAGGACCTTTCCTTTTTGGGGTCCAGATTCCAAAGACATGGGCTTTTCCTTTTAGAGGTTCAGATCCCATCGCCATCGGTACCTGTGGTTCTGATAAGGCGCTGGCCATAGACAAGCACATGGAGCCACGGGGAGTTACGTCGAGTGTGGACAAGGCCAGGTTTTGCGGAGATTCCCCTAGAAGACGAGCCAGTCAGGCAGAGGTCCTGGAGGATGGATGCGTCGCTGTGGGAGGCAGAGTTGTGTCAGGATGGGGTCTGAGAAGCTCTGTGTTGATTTTTTGTCTATTTGCTGCATATTAACTTTTAAAATTTTTTTGAATTCTTTTTTTATTAATTTATTTTGATTTATCAACAATCACTTCCATAGGCTTTGCGGTTAAAATTTTTCTCCCCCTTCCTCCCCACCACCCTCCCCAAGATGGCTTGCAATCTGATATAGGCTGTACATTTACATTCCTATTAAACATGTTTTCACATTAGTGATGTAAGGAAGAATTAGAATCAATAGGAGGAACCACCAGAAACAGGAAACGAAACACAACAGAAGAGAAAAATAGCAAATCGTCGGCTTCGATCTGCATTCAGACTCCAGAGTTCTTTCTTTGGGTGTGGATAGCATTTTCCCTTACGAGGCCTCTAGAGATGTCTTAGGTCCTTGTGTTGCTGGGAAGAGTTAAGTTTATCAATATTAGTCATCCCACAACGTGGCTGTTATTGTGTACAACATTCTCTTGGTTCTGCTCACTTCACTCAGCATCAGACCGTACAAGTCTTTCCAGGTTTATCTGAAGTCCACCTGCTCATCATTTCTTATAGCACAATAGTATTCCATCATAATCACACACCACAACTTGTTCGGCCATTCCTCAATGGATGGGCATCCCCTCAATTTCCATTTCTTTGCCACCACAGAAAGAGCTGCTATGGGTATTTTTGTACATGTGGTTCCTTTTCCCATTTGTACTATCTCTCTGGGATCCAGCCCTAGAAGTGCGATTGCTGAGCAAAGCTCTCCGTTTATAATGACCAGCCCAGGAGAGGGGGAGAAGGGAAGGGAATCCATCTAGGCAGAGGTGGGAGACTGCAGGTGTGGAAGGTTGAATGCACGGTTGGGCCCGATTGGTGTGTTCGCTTTGCTGACCTGCTTTGGTTTTGTCTCTCTGTTTTATTTTTTGTCCTGGGGCTGGCACTCTGGGGAGGCGAGGAGGGAAGGGTATATTCAGAAGTGAAGGTGGTGTGGGTGCAAAATGAAAAATAAGAAAAGAGAGTAGTGAGCCAAGCAGGCTGTCGAGCTCAGAGCTGGTCAGAAGCAGACAAGGGGCAAGGCTTACAGCAACCTCTATGGCCACCTGTCCTGAAGCCGATGGAATGTTAAGGAGGACTGAGGCTGCACCCAGCATCCAGTGGCTGCATAGGCTGGGATCAGGAGGAAGCAGTGACCAGCCACATTTCAATGCCTGAGGTCTCGAGGACTCAGCCTGACGCCCTGCTCCTCTTCTTTCAGCTTCCTGGCTCCTGGTATGGGGTGGACATCCTGGCAGCAGAGGGGTCTCTCAGAGCAGGCTTGTCCTTCTTAGCCCAGGTTCACTTCTTTGGCCTCAGGAAGCCCTTATGTGGAAAGAAAAGAGGCCCGTGAAAGGCCATCCTTGGGTGAGATGGGATGGGACGGGCTGGACGTGAGGAGACAGGCCCACCCGGGGGGGAGATAGGATGGGACGGGCTGGACGTGGGGAGACAGGCCCACCCGGGGGGGAGATGGGATGGGATGGGTTGGACGTGAGGAGACAGGCCCACCCAGGGTGAGATGGCATGGGGTAGGCTGGATGTGAGGAGACAGGCCCACCTGGGGTGAGATGGCATGGGACGGGCTGGACGT